CTTCCCACTCCCCCCAACAGCCTTCCCAGCCCTGCTGGTGCCTCTTGCCACCCCCCACCAGCCCTCTGCCCACCCCCCAGCCCTGCCAGAGGGGGCTCCCAGCTGCCAGCACTATGGGGCCAGGGACCCAGGGCCACAGGGACCCCCTGCCACCCTAATGGCTGCTGCAGCCAAGCAGAGCATGGAGTCCAGCTCCCTGTCCCCTCCCCCCATGCCTGCCCATTGTGGGCTCAGGCTCCCTCCTTGCTGCCCTCCCCCAAAACCCCCAAGGCCCAGCAGGTGTGACCTGGTGGTGCAGAGAACAGCAGGGCCGCATGGGCTGCGAGCTCCATGCTGTCCTGGTGACGTGTCCCCTGTGCATGCGGCAGCAGCAGGGGTAGCAGCATGGTGTTTTGCCTCTCACTGATACTGCGCGTGCAGGTGACACGTTGCCAAGGCAGTATGAAGCTTGCAGTGGCAATGAGATCCCTGCATGGCCCTGCTGTTCCCTGCAGCACCAGGTTGCACCCACTGGGTTGTGGAGGCCCTGGGAAAGGTCAGCAGAGCAGGAGCCCGAGCCTGCAGTGGGCAGTGCACCCCCACCCCACACACGGGCCCCTTTGGGAGTGTGTGCAGTGGTGGAGAATCAGCCCCCCATCCCCTAGACAGGCTGCCTGCAGCCCTGTCCTGCTCCCTACAGGCCCTTCAGCCACGCATTGTGGCCCCAGGTCCCAGGACCCAGGACCCATGTCCACGCACTGCCTGGCTGGACAGCAGGCCCAGCCCTGCCCAACTCCCTCCCTCCCTCACTGGGGGGCCTCAATCTCCCCCCACCCCACCCCACTTACCTGCAGGAGTTGCTCTCCAGGCTGCCTGGCAGTTGTGTGCATATACCACCCTCTTCCTGCTCCCTCCCAATCCCTTGCAGGCTGGAACTCTGCCAGCCTGCAGAGAGCTCTTTGCAAAAGTAGAAAATCTGTGGGTTTCTCAAGGAAAATGAGAAATCCATGTTTTTCTCTGGTAAAGGGGGAAATATGTGGTTTCCTCCATTTTTCCATGGGAAATGGAAACCCGGATCCCTGTTGATACCATCATTTTGATGATGCATTTTGACCATCTGTAATATAAGTTGTACACACTCGAGAATAAGATCAGAATTTGAACATGTTTTTCAGAGAAGAGCTATATTTTACATTTAAATTTATCAGTAGGAAATTATTTATGACTTCATTTTTATTCTCTCTGTAACTGCTCTTCCTGTATTCAAAGACTGTTAACAGTGTTTTCTTCTCCAAGCTAAATAATCCTAGCTCTTTTAGTCTTTCCTCATAAACCTTTTTTTCAGGTGTCATTGTTTTTGTCACTCTCTGCTAGACTCCTTCCAATCTCTCCACATCTTTCCTGAAGTGTGAGACCCCAAACTAGAAACAGTACTCCAGCTGAGGCTTCACCAGTGCTGAATACAGTAGAATAAGAATCACTTTCCCTTAATTTTCCAAACCTGTTGGCTCTTTCTGCAACAAGGGCATTATTGGCAATTATCATCTCATCAGTGGCATTGTGTAGGGGATGCACAGGGTGCATGTGCACCCACTGAGAGTGCTGGTGCACCCCTGACAGGCAATACTCCCTGCTTAGGCGATGGGCAGGGGGAGCAGGCAGGACCACTGGTGAGAGCACCGGCTGGGGAGTGGGAGAGCCGAATAAAGCACCATGGCCACTTCCGGGAGCACTGCAGCCATTTCCTGTGCAATTGGCCATGGGGGCACCTCCTCCTTCCTGGTCACTGACTGGTCACTGAGGGTACACGTGCTCCCCCCTAAGGTAGCACCAGTCACCCATGCATCTTATAGTCCATTTTAAACCCCAGGTCCTTCTCTGCAGTTTCATACTTGGTAGGGTCAAAAGGGACCTGAGCAGATCATCAAGTCCGCCCCCCTACCATGTGCAGGAAAGAATGCTGGGGTCAAACTACCCCAGCTAGGTAATTATCTAGCCTCCTTTTGAAGACCCCCAGGGTAGGCGCGAGCACCACTTCCCTTGGAAGTTGGTTCCAGATCCTAGCCGCCCAGACAGTGAAGTAGCACCTCCTGATATCTAGCCTGAATCTACTCTTAGTCAGTACTGCAGTCTAGCTAATTATTCCCCAGTCTGAATTTGTGCATGCAATTATTCTGTCTCAACTGCAGGACCTTGCACTTGTCCTTGTTAAATTTAATCTGATGGATTAGGGACAGTTTCTCCAGCCTATCCAAGTCGTTCAGGATTCTACCCCTACTCTTTAGTGTATCTGCTACTCTACCTAGCTTGGTGTCATCCATAAACTTGCTAAGCATGGAAATACAAGCCACCAAAAAGTAGAGATATTTTACAATTTCAGGCTTAATCCTTTACCCTACACATTAAAGTCTGGATTCCTTAGCAGTGCATAGAGAATGTATAGAACTTGCTTACCTGTTTGGCATTGGGGACCATAGAAACCAGAAGGACAAACACACATATTTGGACGTACACAGCTGCCTCCATTTAGACAAACAGGAATACACACTGCTGTAAACAAGCAGAGAAAAATAGAGTTAAATCAATTAGATGATGGTTCTCTCTTCATATCTGCATATATAGAAGAGTGATCCATTTTACTGAATTAGAGCAGTGTTTTCCAACCTTTTCAGATTCAAGGCACCCCTTGAAAAATGCCAGCTCTTAGTTTTAATTTGTTTTTTGACTACAGAAAAATTATAGAGCAATTCTGCAATTGTTGCAAAGAATTTAGAAAGACTACAATAAGGCAGAATGTTTTTGACACTATGGGCATTTATAGACACGCTCTGGAAGTGGTGGGAGGTGGGAGGCGAGGTGTGCTTTAATTACAGTGGCTCTGAGAGCCGTTCTTATTAAAGCGCTCAGAGCCTCATGTTCATCAGTGTCCCTGTGCTGAAAAATGGCAGTGGGGGCACTTTAACAAAAGCTCATTGAACAAGCTTTAGTTAAAGCACCCCCACCACCATTTTTCAGTTCAGGGATGCTGGTGCACATGACACTGGAGTCTGCCGGAGTGCAGTAATTACTACACTCCAGCAGACTTGATTAATCCTTTCACCCAAATGATGATTTTACAGATGATGTAATAATCACCTGTAAAATTGAATTGTATTTTGTACATTATTAAAGCCCTCATTAAATTCATGGGAAAGCTAATACCAGAAGGCCTAAACTTCCAAATGTGCCTACCCTACCCTTCTACTGGTAATATCTCTAGGTACCCAAGTCTCTGCCACTGCACAAGATTACAACCAACACACTCCTGACAATGCTGACATGCTTGGTATTTGTCTAACTCTGATGGGATTCACAAAATAGACATCCTTCCACCTGGATCACTTGGATACCCTCTTTCACACTTAGAAGCCACTTCTTCTGGTGGGAAGATACAGGAATAGCAGAAGTACATCTACAGCTGAAGGAGAAATCATTGATGTTCTGCTTCTTAGGGCACAGACAGAAGTGACAATTTCTGCCCAATCTGGCCAAAAAAAGCAGTCTATAGCTGTGACCAAATACAAGTGCACAGCTGCAGACCACTTAAAAATGGTTGTTAGGGTGAAAATCTGAACCCTCATTGCATGAGGGTGCAGATGAAGACATTTCAAAACACAGCATCTTTTGTAACTTGTGTCTATGCTGCCCACTAGGCTCAAGCTGTTTTTAGAATGGGAGGGACAAAAGGGAGCACAGGGAATTCAGTTTGGGACTTTTTCAGCCTGTGCTGGAGTGTGGGGTGGGTGAATTGGAGCCCCGCCAGGAGGTGGGGGGGTCTTCAATTCACCTACCCCACCCTCCAGTGCTGGCTAAGGAACCCCTAGAATGAGCTCCACCCCCCCCCCCGCATTTATGGAACCAATAGTGAACTTCTGTTTGGTCATTCTCAGTTACAGTGGGAAGCTGCACTTCTGTCTGCATCCTCAGTTGACAATGAATGCAACAGAAGTGCCAATTTGTGACAGTGGTGGTTTTGCTATGTAAAAAGTGTTGCTGATCACTGTTTCATGAAACTGGGGGAAGAGCACTGAAAAAGAGCAATATTGTTTTTGTATTGACATATTTAAAAAAAAAATGAAAGCAAACAACAAATCAAACTAAAACCAGATTCTATACATATAAAATTGTTCTCATTAAAAGAAACAGAAACAAAAAAAACAACCCTCTCTTATTTCCTAGAAGAAAGTAGCAGTTTTATGTAGAGCATACATAATTTTGTCTAGTTTTAACTGTACTGTATAATGGATTTTGCCTAATATGAACATATTAAATTGAAATCATGGTAAAATTCAATTTTCCTTTTTTAAGGCAAGAAATTGAACTATTTTCTTTCCCTGGGGTTTAGAAAATTCTCAGAGCTTCTTTTTCTTTTCATTTTGTGCAGCTGCAGGATAAATACTAGTCTCAGAAATGCTTAAAACCCAGTAGGAATTGTCTGTTTCTGAGATTTCCAGGTCTGAGGATTGGATCAGTTGTCCACTAAACCCAAATTTTGAACCTTTTGAGATTCATCCATTATTAGTTCCCAGTTCTTTTTTCCATTTTAAGTTTTTTGAGCAATTCCAGGACAAACATCAGGATGTATAAATCATGTGGATTTCAGGCAGGGAAATTAATGTAGGAAAGATGGATGCTTTCCAAATGTTTACCTGTTTCACAAGAGGGGCTGCTCCATCCATTTTTGCACTTGCACTCATCTGGTGACACACACTTTCCACCATTGTGACAGTGCCTGTTACACACCACTACAAAATAAACAATACATTGCACTTAAAAAATAAAATAAAATAAAATCTTAATCTGCAAAAAGTTTGAGCCAGATTTTCCTATCAATATCATGACATATCCAGTAGCAACTAGTAAAATAACAGCATTACTCTGGATTTTAATAGGTAAAACAGAACTGAATGTCTATTCCCTTAGGGTGGTGGGGGAGGTGGGGGTTGTGTCTTTTTTTTTAAGTTCACCATTCACATTTTTGACAAAGCCTTGCATCTAAAATTCTTAGCTTAAGTATTCAAGCTACTTCTGTGCAGAACTAAAATTATTTTCCTGTCAAGGACAACCTGATATTTAAATCAGAAGGACTGCAGTAATGAAACTATAATATATGTTTTGCCATTCAACTAATATGGAGGGGTTTGAAGGCTGATTTTTTTTTCAGATGTTCTATTTACTGAACCAGTTTTGTAGCTTGTAGTGCACAGTAACATGAATCTTAATAGCTATGGTTGCCTTTTTGTATTTTCAGAATTAGTATTACTGCATTCACTTGCACAACCTTGAATTTCACAAACATTATCGTAAATATTTTTTCTTTACCAGAGGTGCTTTTATGTAGCAAATGTTCATATGGATGTGAATATTTTTACATAATACAAATGTGCTGTTGGAAAATATATCCTGAGAGATGTTTCAGCCACTGTAATGCTCTAAATATATTATACTTTGATTTCCCTACTGTATTCAATTGAAATTTTGCGGCAAAATGCAGACAAACAGAAGCACTTCTTGTGTCATATCATTTTCTCCAAATTTAGGCATGAAAAGGGCAAAAACACTAAATAAATGCGTACATACTTATTTCACATCTTGGACCAACAAATCCATAACCACAAGAACAGGTATTTTCAGCCACGCACGTTCCTCCATGATCACAAGGTGGATCACACAACACTATACAAAGGCACAAATAAGCAGAGGCAAGAGAAAAGGAACACAACTTCAATATCATATAGCTGATTAAACACAGTTCTGTGCAGTTATGAGCCCAGAACTTGCTACTATTTCTCATATCCCTTTTATTGTTACTTTTAATTAATCCTCCCTGTTGTAGATGCCAAGAATAATGCTACATAGAAAAAAATAGCTAACACATTAATAATGTAGGAATAACTGAGCAAAAGTGATAAAATATTAGGATGGGAGTGACTGTGGCATATTAATGCCCATGTTAAGGTTCTGAGCGTGTACATTTTGAAGTAGCTATTTCTCAGTAGCCTGAGCAGACTCAGAATGAAATGAGTGCTTGTGCAAGTAATAAGAGAAGATAATTTGCCTTTTTTTCCCTCGGCAAACTTGACTGGTGAATTCTCAGAATATATTGCGCAGTGTCAGAAGAAGTTATACTAAACCAAAGATGGAACAGTTACTTCCTCTGATTCGTGTGGCTTTTCAGGGAAATTTTGTGGCAAAATGACATAATTTTAAGTAGCGGTAAGAATTTTTATTCAGCAGCCAGGGGTCTGCAGAGAAAGCAACAAAGCGATTGGTGATGATTTCCCTAAATAATTAGGTGTTGCAGTGTACAGTTTAATGTCTTTGAGAGGAGAAAGAAAACAAGTAAGCATATTGCATAGACCTGAGAGAGAAACTTGGGAAGTACTGAAACCTCAGAAATATATCATTTGCTTGAGCCTCCAGGTTTCTCTTTGAAAGTAAGGTCTTTCTAGCCAGTTGACGCACACGTATCTGGCAAACTTTGAAGGTTCAACTTGTGAACAGAGGCAACTGTGATTCTTGAGTGCATTCTATAAAACTATAAAATCTCTTCATTTTAAACCCCCCACCTCTAACAAAGTTCCCAGCAGGATGAGGGAAATTAGTTTATTTTTTAAGGAGTATGTTGTTTTGTTGGTGTGGTGTTTTCTTCTGATAGCTAGAGACGGTTAAAGAAACAATATTGCAGTCACAGCTTGCAACTTAAGGGCATTATACATATACATTTGGCTGCTCTGATGTGCCAGAGATCTGATACGTTAGACAGACTCAGTTAATCAAGTCTGCTCCGCATGTGAACTGATGCACCTGGTGCTGTGCCACATGCATTTGTATAAATGGCAAAATGTGCGTCAGCATTGAGAAAATGGCAGCGGTGCGCTTTTGAACTAAAACACCCTCAATGTGTTTTAGTTCAAAAGCACACCGCTGCCATTTTCAGTGGTGCAAACATTATGTACAAATTCTTTCTATTTTTACATTTCTCAGTATCTAGTACTTCTAACAATTCAACCTTCAAAAAACAGTTATTGGACTGCTGCTGAGATTTTATATAAGTTCAATATAACTTAGATGCATAAAACTTTCACAAACTTTTATCTTCTTATTTATTTACTTAGAGTAGTTATTAGAGAAACTGAAGGTGGTTCAAAATACTTTTAGGTTTTCATGCTATAGCTATAGTAAACCTGCTTTAATGCATACTCAGGAAAACGAATGGTGGAAGAGAGAAAATGAAATTTAATATTGCTTCCATGTTTTATATTTATACATAACTATTGCAACCAATATCTTGAATGCAAGGGCCTTCTCTAAAGCTCACTCAGTTACTTAATGCTTGCACACAAAATACAAAGCAAAAGAGGAAATTATATGTTTAAATCCCACCTAATATAAATTGTCTGGCATGTTACTCAGTCACAGCAGTCCTGTTACTTTGGAAATAGGTACACTGACAGGGTTTTTTCCATTTCACCCTTTTAAAAGACTATCATGTGGGACTAATATTTCCAAGCAAGTTTGGTCTTATTAACCAGAAATGACCAGTGAGATTTTCTGTGTATACAATTATAAAAGAGGCTGAAATGCCTCATGATTTTTAAAGGATATGCCAAGGTGCTTTATTTCCTTAATTAAGATGGTTGCATAAAACTCATGAGACCAAGTGCTGTGGCATGCAGTTTAAACTAAGAGTATGTGCAGATGTTCCTAGACATGATATAAAATCACTCATCTTACTTTAAGTTGCATGATTGTAGATAGAGTCCTACTTGTGCAGTTATCTGCTTGTGCCTGGAGCCAAGCCAGGAACCCAATCTAAGTTAGTAGGGGTGGGAGAAAGGGGTTGGTGGGTCCTGGGGTGGGGGATTGGTGGAATTGAGCCGGAGCTGACCGGGGTACTGACCATCCAGAGCTGGTGAGGTCGGGGAGCCAAAAATAGCCTAATGACGGTGGTGTGTATAGGAGAAGCACAGCCCCGGAACTGGGGTAAGTGGCTGGGCTTTCCCAGCCCCAGGGTTTTGCTCCAAACAGGTAAAAACATTCATGACCTTGGCCTAAGCCTTACCCAATCAAATTTAGTACACCTCCTAGTGAGCAAAATTAGATCAGGCTAGCCATTTTTTGCCCCATCTAATCTCCCCAAATGTCTGTTCAGATCAGCACATAGATTGAGCTAACCCTAATTAGGTCAATCTAAGTGTAACATCTGCGTGGCATTCGGTTGCATTCTTCCATCTTTCACTAGGTATTTTGTCAGCAATACATGAAGGAAACATGTCTGCTTCAGCAGGCTTCTGTTCTCCTGTCCTCTCCACATTTTAAGATGTATCTGAATTGTTAGAAAAATAACATGTTTCTGATGGCAAAACATTTTACACATATTGTGACATTTTAATATTAAAATGTGTGAAAGCAATTTGGCTGCTGGTGAAAAGCAGAGGTTGAGAACTGAACATTGTAGCTTCAGAGAGAGAGAGAAACAGAAGGAGCGAGGGAAAGAGCTGTTGTGGAAAATAACATTTTACTTAGTAAACTGTTTCCACTGTAAGAAAAAATATACCGTGTATGTCAGTTTTTTTCCTCAAACTTATTTCTTTTATCTTATGGAACATTTTCTTCCCAAAAACATTTTATAAATTGCACAAAAGGATTGTAGTGTTTTTGTTCTCAAACTTTTTGAGAACAAAAAGGCATAGGATAAAATTATATAAGGAGAGAACTAGTGTTACAAGTGGTTGATTTTGCTGTCAAATGTATTATGTATTTATCATTTAAAATCTGTAGATGAGAAGGTGAGATGTATGCGCTGTTTTCTATGAACACTTAGGTTTTATTTTTTTAAAACCACTTGGTACTACCTTGTCCCATAAAAAAGTGTGTCTCTGGTGTTTAATTTTTATTTTAAAATGAGTTCATGCCATTTTTACAGATCCCCTTTCCATAGCCTGGGGACACTGAGAATACCAGTTGCAGCATACTTTTCTCTATTTGGACACTCAAGTCTGCAGTTTGCTAAAATGATTTGGACTTGTTACTTAAAATATAAGTGATACAGCATATGCATTTTACCACTTGAAGGTGTGGATAATTTCCTATAAATTAAGGCTCCATATTTGATAACACTTATCTACAGTTCTCCTTTAGCGTTCGAAAGAATAAACCACATCAGAAGCGACTTCACTGGAAAGTGTTTCTTACTATTATAAATTATTTTTCTTCTGGCACAGCTGAACAGAGAAAACTTTCCTTAGGTAAAGAGAATGTTCAAAAACGTACTGGAGAGATTGAATGAGATCACTGAGTCTCTGGCCAGCATCCAGCACTATGATCTTTCATTTGAACAAACGTAGACTGAAGCCTTTGAGTTTAAGTGACATAGCTATGAGATATAAAGTGAAGGTATATAATGACAATATGTAAGTTTAGACCCAAAACAGAGCAAGCAATGCAAGGCCTGGCACTGTGGCCTAGCAATGAGGACTGTACTTACAAGCCCTTAGTTCTGATCTGTGCTGACACAGCTCTTTAATAATTTTATATTAGACAGTCATTGCTTTAAAAAACAGAAATAACTCTGTAAGTGAAGCTAGAACCACCACCATCATCCTTTCCTTCCAAATACCACAACTACCGTGCTACATAGTTATGCTTTCCCTTGTTCGCTCTCCTTCTGGCCCATGTCCTCATTGCTTAATAAGCCACCCTCTACAAAGGGGGGTGACAGGCTCCCTTCCACTCGAGTAGCTCATAGGCTAGTGATTGGGGCACTTTTCTAGGAGTTTGGTTTGAATCCCCTCCCCTGATGAGGAGGGTCCAGAATCAAGGTCTCACTCTTTTTGGACAAATGATTTTAGAACTTGATTGTTCAGGAAAAGGTATGTAGCAGACCCACTGGCTGTTTTTTATAATCAGTTGAATGCATGTTCTCAGCATCAAACAGTCAGTAGGTATAGTCTGAACTTACCTAAGGAACTGCGAACTGCGGTGGAATACAGGTGCCTCATAGCACTAGTTTGGATTGCAAGAGCTTATGTGTGAATGCAGTGCTTAGGCGGATGATATAAAGTACCTCTGAGTATGTGCAGCAGCCCACATCTAGGTGTCTAGGGGTCTTTTTAAGCCAAATTGGAGGAGCCCAAAAGGAGGTGCCTAAGCATTTTTTTTGCAGCCACCCAACAGGGTCAATGCAGATTGCTCTTTGTGACTGAAGACTTAGCTGAAATGTACTCACCTTTTAGGCAGCTGAAAAGTCAATTAAGACCTCTCCATTCAACTGTATCTGGTGTACATTGTTAAACTTGAAAGGTTAATTTAAAAGGTAAAAGCCGGGGCAAAAAGCTAGCAATAAACCTATACATTGCCAAAAAGTACAGCGTGTGGTCTTATGCCAGCCTTTCACACAGGGCTGTATTTCAAAAATGTTTCAGGACAATCAAAGAAGCTATTTTACTTGGATGGTATTGCAGGCCAGATCACAGTAAACAGGAAAGTAATGAAAGTAATGAGAGTTACTTTTTGGCCAGGACTTTGTTGAAATATATCACGCATACAAATGTAGGCATTTCAATAATGGTTCCAGTTAGGCTGCACTTCTCAATTTTGTGTTGTAAAAATGTCATTCCAGACTAATGGCTAAGGAAATATTTGCATGAATTGTTGCCCTGTTTTATCCAGTTATGAATATTTGCCATTAGAGTTCCATTACCATTGACTTTCCATTCCTGTGAAAATTATTATTTTTACTATATTTTAATAACAAAAATTCAAGGTAATGAATTCCGTAAACGGAAAGCCAGTCGCAGTTGTGACTTAATTGTGACTGCACCAGCTTGGCTGCAGCTTTCCCTCTCAGGCAAGCCAATAAAGAACTTCAGAGTTCTTGAGACGTCACATTATCAAGATACTACCTGTTTTGGAAACAGACATTAAGGTTTTATTCTCTATAGGAATGCTAAGATTTTTCTGACAATTTCATAAAGAATTAAAAAAGAAAATTCCTTTTCACCAAACCTAGTACTGTGTAGTTTCAGGATGTGGCTTGTACTCCCTAGAGAGAAGCCTCTGCTTGTCTTTACCCTGTCAAACATACTTGGGGAAAGAGAAATTAAAATGCAGTAGATCAGGAGTTTGTCTTGAATCCTGTCTTATTCCTGATTCTTAATGAAAAATACCTAGAACAGAACGTTCTGTTAACGACAGCCCCATTACGGGGTACTTCCACCGCAGCCTGTCCTAAAGGGTCCTATGCAACACAACGGCTGCTCTCAGTCACTTACTGCTAGCCCCACACCCTCTTAGTCCTGGGAAGTCAACTGCATTTCCTTCAATATTATAGTATTTAAAATGCATTTAAAGATGCATCCACTTAACTAGAGTGAAAAATAGAAGCAGAAACATAAATAAAAAATATTAAGATGCTTCGAAAACAACCATTTGGTATAAGCATTTCCAAGCAATAGTGTTTAGTGTTATTTAGCATATTACACATTAAAATTTAAATGCACCTGACAGCTCATGACTAGACATACTCTGAATATGTTATAAATAATAGTTTTGGTCCCACTAAGTATGGATTAGTTGAATGAGCTTCCCTGATTCTGTGGATATGGTTTAAAGAGTGATCCTGAAATATTTACAGCTCTGTAAATATTGTGGCATATCTATAATGCACTTGGCAGGTGAAAGGCAGTGTCCTGTAAAACTGCTAAGTCTGTACCATTATCATTATTTATTGGTGATAAAGTACTTGCCCTTTAAAGGACACTACCAGCTGATGTTGAATCTATTTCACATTCCCTCCTTCACTTTGTGAAATATAAGCTCAAATAAGCATACTTATGTGAACATGGCAACCCATTAGGCTGCGACAGGCCCTTCGTCTTCCCGATCCTTTTCTGGAAGTCTGCAGGTGATAGGGTTGCCAAATGTCCCGGATTGGCTGGGAGTCTACCGGAATCAGCATCCATCTCCTGGTGAATATTGAATGCGATTTGGGAGATTGATATTGGGAATGGGTTGATTAATGACATCATGTCGCACTGGGGGGGAAAAAAAAATCTCCCAGAACAGCTTCAGTCAGAATGAGCAACCCTAGCAGGTGACTCTCTCTCTCTTTCTGAACCTGCATCCCTTCAATAGACTTCTCTGGAGGGAAACACGTTGAGGCTCCTACATTTTGTCGTCCTCAACTTGCACTGAACCATTAGTGCCTTCCACCAATGACAAAGGCATTTACAAGGTGAGTGCTTAGGCTGAATTTATAATACTGAGGGATTTTAAGAGATGAAGAAGGAAGGAGAGGCTCCAGGAATCCATCTCGTCTCAGATTTCTGGAAGCTCATCTAGCCCCTCCGGTTGAGACCTGAGGAAATGTTTGCAGTGGGAGGCACGCAATGCCGCACACTTGTGAAAGTGTGGTGGTTAGATGCTTAACTGAGCTCACTGGAATATCTGGCCTGTAGTTTTGAACAGCAGAAAGCTAATACAAAGGGAAGAGTTTCCCAATGACAGCTCTAGGAGGAGAAGGTAATCACAGCCATATACAGTGTCAGAGGAGAAGAGTCCTTGCCAAAACTGAATGAAACCTTCACAAAGAAAGCATGACTTAGTTTGCTTTGAGTTTGTTCAGGGGGCAGATTAATTTTTAGGCTGGTTCTTTTTTGTCCCAGATCAAATTTCCTAGCTCTGATTTTAACAACATACTTGAGAAGAAAATCTGAATTTGGTCACAGAGGATAAATATCAGTTAGTGTAGTATATATTATCTTGGAAGATTTTCAGTCACTGTTATTAAGCAAAGGTTTTATCAAGCATCACAGGTATTAAACTTTGTTACAGATGGCCTGCTTCCTTTATCTCACTGAATTCCATTATAAAATAAGATGGTGGCAACTCTCAGCAGACTGTCTAAGGCTGCCGATATTTTCACTCAGTGTTAGATCACTTACCAGAGATGTTGCATCCAAGCATAAGATTTCAAAAAGTCTGGACATGGCTTTGATCAGCTGCTAGGTTTTGCTGTTGTCTGTACAAAGAGGGTACTATTGTTTCAGGGGAAATTATTAGAGTCTTGGCTGGCCTGCCAGGTGCTAATAGCAGAGATGATGGCAGTCCTAAATGCAAGAAATTACCATCATCTTTCAAGATAAGTCTGCTGCTTTTGACGTGGAAGAAAACATCAGCAGCTAGGGGTACAATAGATGTTCTTCAGACAGATCCAGCAACCCGGACATTTTTTGGTCACGCTCCAGGATAGCTATTGGCCCTTACACAGAGAAGCTTGTGATGGAACAGGTTCTCAAAGCAGCAAGCTTGTCTTTAGTCGGCTGACATGGTCAGAGATCAGAGAAAAATAAAGGACATTTATGTGTCATATTATCAAACCCTGAGACAGAGAATGATGTTGGTAATAAAATATTTCATCTTAAGGACACTACAGGGAGATTTGCAGTATGAATAGTTGTTGGAGCAGAAGGAAAGAAGCCGCTTGTCTTTTGGAGCAGCTAAAGATTGTAGCTAGAATTATGATTTAGGGAACATACCAGTGTACTTGAAAAACATGTTTAAAAAAATAGGACTGTATGTGCATAGCCATGAAGGACCAAACATTGGGACCCAGCTATTTTGCATATCCCAGGGTGCTGCCTTTTCTAATCTGTGGTGCCAAGTAGGTCAGCCTCAGAGCTGCTGTATCTTATGCATGGGTATCTATGGGCCCATCATAGGCCATTTCAGAAACCAGGAGAGCTGGGATTATGGTAGCCTGGTTGTTCTTCAGTAAATCTCCCTCACGATTGTGAGCTCTGAGATGAGGTGGAATATGACTGGCAACAATTGGGTATTCTGCTATGGTAGCTGGGGATTCCACCTGCCTTTGGGACCATTGGGAAGCAGATAAAGCTAACTTAAAGTTTTGCTCTCTCAGTCATGAGAAGCCAACCCAGTGAGAACCGTGATCGGCCCTGCTTGTGCATAAATATGTGTGCATGTGTGTGTGGAAAAGAAAATGAAGTAGATAATACACCCACTTCTACCAGTGAAAGACCAATTAATGTATCAGTTAATCAGAGATTTGAAAAAAGAATATAATAATAGTTAAGTAAACACATTCACACTTTTAAAATGATGCATAATAGTAGTATTTTTTTCACTGAGGTTTTTTGAGCTAATAAATGAACCAATATAACATATAAGAACATAATCTAGACTAGACATATCAGATGACAAGCTGAGTTTTCTGCCTAGAATATTAGTGCAGGAATTTAAAGTTACTTTTCAAGGTAGCAGAAAATTACTTCGCAAAATATAAATTGTCTACAGTATATAAACTTTGTGTAGACAGACAGAGCCCATTCTGGTCCTGCTTACACTAATTTTACCAAATTGGAATTCCATTGACTTTAATAGCATGACTCCAGATTTAAATGAGGTGAAGTGAGAATAAAATTGGGTCCACTGTTTTAATTGCTTGAATGCTGGCAAATAAAACTGCCATTTATTCCAGCAGAAAGCAGTTTGTTCTGAACTATAAAACAAGTTAGTTCGGTTGAAAGCAAGTGCGATCCCAGCTGAGAAAACCCCACAGGTTTAAACAAAATATAAATTAGTGTTTTGAATAATGATGAATTTTGAAAATACTAAAACACTTCCAGTGGTTTTCCTTTTTGTTTTACCTACTTTGACATGTAATTCCATCCCCACTGTATCCAAATGGACAAGGCCCACATTTAAATCCTCCATCTTTAGCTGGCTCACACTGCACTCCTGCAAAGCATGGCATGTTGGCACAAGTGATTTTCTTGTCCTGATGCAGTAGACCAGTAATGGGTTTTGATAGTGCCAAATGGTTTGCTGCGAAGGCATCTGGCTTTCTGATTGCAATGGTCTGTGCTGGAATTCTTGCTTGAACAGAAGTCCTTACTGGGAGGCTGGCGCTTCGGGGAGCTGTATCAGAAAAAGAAGCTATCAAACGGAATGAGGAAGTCAGCAGGGCGGTCAAAGCAGATGCTCTTGGCTTTTCTGTTCGAAAATCATGCGGTGACTTGGTCTTTGTTGTTGCAACCCTACTAGACCAATTTCTCGAAGAAAAGTTAGATTTTGTGCGGGTCTGTTGAACAGCAGACGGGCTTGAAACTAATGACCTTGCACTCGTGTCATGGTGAGGGGAAACACTCCCTGCTGTGTGTGATCTAAGGTACAGATTATAGTCAGGAGAGATCCGGGTTGTCATTCTGACCATTGCTGCTTTGTCATCGGGCTCTTGGTGCAGAAGTAAGTTGTGTGCATTCATTTCTATTGTCCCTTTATCCAAGGATGATGATTTCTCAGATGGTGTGGACTCTAGATCAGATTTTGTTGCTGCTGAAGTCTGAGGTGGGGAAGCTGTCTTTTTTACAGTAAGTGATTGAATACCAAAGACTGTAGGGTGTCTTGCTAGAAGAGCTTGGGAAAATGATTTCATTGCTGCTCTTCCTTGGTGGGAGTCTTTAGCGTCTTCATTACCTATCTCAGCAGTATCCATGTGATTTTGAGAAGATCTTTGTACTAGGGCTGAGGGAAAAAGATACTCGTCAGTAAGTCTGCTGGCCTGAATCACTATTGGAGGAAAATGAATAATTAACTTGTGAACCAACAGTAGGATATTAATTACATACAGAAAGAAAGCAATCTGCCATACTCGTATGATTACAATTTCCTGACTAATCAGAGTCAATATTTATTGATTTGTGATTTCTGCTGCCAGAGTTATATGTCTGGGCTGCTTTGTGCTCAACACCATATGGTTACCTAACAGAGTCTCTGCCCTGATGTGCTTACAAGAGACCGTGGGTGGGTGCAGAAGCCGACAGAGAGAGAACAAAAAA